TAAGGTTAGGATCCTATGTCATCCCCTGGAGCACCATGTGCTGGGTAAAATCCTTGAGAAGATGGAGTGAGGATCTAAGCCTGTCTGACAGTTTCTGTCTTGCACACTTTTCCCTGGGGTCAAAATCCTTCTTCCTCTGTCTTGAGATGTACCCGAAACTAAGCAGCATGTTCCAGTGAGATAAGTAATTACCATGAGTTCATATTTATTTTTAATTATGACAGTCAGTCTTAATTTAGTATTTTGATTCATTTTTCTATGCTCAGTGGATCCTGATGTTTTAGTTCTTGCTCTCCTATAACTCCTGTCGCACTGCAACTTCTGTACCAAATCTAGACAGCAAGATGCTTCATCAACAAAGTTCATAGCTTTTAATTATCAGGCTCTTTTAGGGGGGTGTCTGGATTCTTCAAGAAGCAGGAGGATGGGGTATCAGGGCATACTTGTATTTGCTTGTTTCCACCCACTATTTAAAGTGCATCAACAATTCCTTCCTGGCAGCAAAATAATATGAGAGCTGATACTTTTAAGATAAGTCTGACATCCGTGCTATAAATAGACTGCATGGAAATTTGCCCTTGCTAGCTGGTTCCCTGCTGCTGTAGAGGAATCTGTGGAAAACCCCAGTATGGAGAGAGGCATGAGGCAGATGTCAGAGATGTCACTGCCCTTAGAGGCACTGGCTGGAGGTGGTTCATTCAAAACCTCTTCCTGGACCAGCAAGTCCCCTGCTGAATCCCCAGTGCATCCCCCCTGAGCAGCTCTTTACACTGTCAAGGGGCCTTTTTTTTTGCCAAATATATCATGTTTTTCACCTCCTCAACCACATCGAAGCCATTTGGTTGGTAGCCTCTGGTGCACCCACTAAGAGAGTGGCTGGAGGTGTGACCAGTGCCACCGCAGAGGTGGGAAACTGGGGCAGGACAGGCCGCAAGACAGCCCACACCAGCAGCTCCCACTGCATCACTTTCCTCTCCCCATCGCTTGCAAAGCAGGAACATTTCCCAGCCCAGGCCAAGAAAACCCACTTGCCTGCTCTCACGGTACTAACAATGAAAACACTAATTATATCTCACTCACCTATCAAAGGGATGATTCATTTAGGTGAGTGGGCATGGAGGATATCACAAGATGAACACCACGATGCAACTGCCTGCCTGTTTTGGGGTAACCCTCCTGAGAAACAAGGCTGCATGGGGCACATGTGCACCTGGGATGCAGCAAGGGCGTGGCAGCAGGATGGACCTGGTGTGGACACTTACAAGGCAGGGAATCGCTGTCAGCCATTCCCTGAGGGCTGGCTGGGCAAAGGGGATCCAGGTGAGAGTCTGGTGCCCTCCCCAAGTCCTTGTCCAGTCTCAGATCCCAAATGCTCAGCTGGGGAGGGGTGGAGGGAGGAGAAAAAGTGTTGCCAGGGACAGAAAGGGCAAAAGCAGATCTGGGGCTTCCTTCATCCACCCCACGTTATCCATCCTCACAATCATGGTTTCAACAGCTAAACCCAAACCCAATGTACAGCCTTAAGATTCCCATGGCGAGCCTGAAGTTACAATTCTGTCACCAGGGTAAAATCCCTGAAAATTTCCAAAGTGTCCAAGGAATTACAGAAAGGCAGAAACCAGCTGAGATGTTTCCTGATCTCCAGACCTGCTCAGGAAGGGGATCTCCAATGGGAGGTCTCTAACCTTCTGCTCTAGAGGGTTCCACCAGCTCCGGCAAGGGCCACAGCAGCAGTTCCATCTCACATCAGTGCTGATCCAGGTGGATGCAGCCCCTTTCACATGAAGCATGGGAGCAATCCTGATCCCACTCTGGAATTGGGTTGAATCAGGCCCAGCAAATGAGTGCAACTCCAGCATCCAACTGAGGCAACCCTCAGGAGCCTGGTTTATGTAATAGCAGGGTGCTTCTGGATGGGAGCAGGAGCGATTTTTGGCAGAAAGATAAGGACATGCCTGCAGTATCATGGTTTGAGGGTGTCCGAGTGAGTGTGTGTATGCAGGAGAAAGACAGGACGGTGCACGTATGTGTTACATGTGGGTCAGGTGTGTAGCAGTGCCAGGGAAGTTTGGCAAAGTGTGGGCTTCTAGGGGAACAGAGAGGCTGCATTTGCTTAGTTGGGCTCTGGGATAGGTCTGTGTTGATGGGCACATATCCACACAGCTCAGGGAGCAGTTTGTATCCATCTGGTGCATGCACGGGTCAGAGAGGGCTGGTTCCAGGCTGGGGGCAGACCACGTGTGTGTGTGGGTATGTGAGCGGAGAGGTGAAGCGGTGCCTCAGTGTGGGGAGAAGAGGCGTGTGTGCATGGCGATGAGTGTGTCCATGTGGGAGGTGTGAGAGCTGCAAGGTGCATATGGGGGAAGTGTGCGTGCATGTGTGAGCACCTGGTGTGGGGGGGACAGTACCTGGAGCAGAGAGCAAGGCCAGGGCAGGAGGGTGGCAACGTGGCTCAGGCCACCAGCATACCATTACCCTATGTCCAAGCCCAATGCATCAACACATGTACATCAGTCATGCAAAATATTGTTCCCCAAAACAGAGCTGGCAACTGTTGGTGGAGTGTTGGGATTTGTCCTCACGCAATATTGGACAAGGAAATGGTAAAACTGGAGCCAAATCCATGAATTCTGGGGCATGTCACTTCCTGAGCCTTCCTGTGCATTTAGGGACCCATCCCCTAGCCCTGGTTGATGTGCTAAAAAAAACATAATGCAAGGGATGAATATTTATCTGTGGGTGGCAAGTGACAGATGCTGGGGCGAGGATTATAGGATACTTCAGTTTGATGAAGATAATAACTTGAATAAATTAATGAGAAACATCCTTCCCAACAGTTGCCTGCTCTGTGTCATAGCTACACAGCCACCCTTCCAGCAGAGCTCCTGCAAACATCAGCTTCTTGCATCCAGATGCTCAAAGTTCATCAGCATTCAGTGTCCAAAAGGCTGGAGATGTCGAACTTTGGTGTTTTCCAGCCAGAATCGATCCAGGCAACTGGGAAAGTCCATGGCCTCTGCATACTTTGGTGAACGTGCAATTTTGGCTAGGTTCAGTCACTCTGTGGTGAATGCACAACTGAAATGGGGGGAAGCTGGTGTGGAGGAGCCCAGTTGGGGTGCACATGGAGTGTGCATGATGGGCTTGGCCACAGGTATCATCACTCTGCGTTTCCCCTTCTCCCTCCTCGTAGGATTGTTTCAGAGTCCCTGAGGGAGCATTTTGCTACAGACCCTGTCCTTTTCTCCCACTGATCTTCCTACCTCTTCCTAAAATGACAAACATGCAATACAGCTTCTCGGTCCCTAAGCACTGAGAAGCCAGACTGGCCTGACAAGATGGAAGAAAAAGCTCTTTGCTTCTGGTAGGTTCTCAGAAATGGTGAAACTGCTGGCAAGACACCCCATTTTGGAGGTGCTCTCCAGGATTCCCATATCACTGCTGTGCTGCAGTTGACAGGGAGCATGCCAGGGTGGGGGCACGTATGTGCCCAGGGACAGGGCCAGCCCTGCAACATCCAGCAATCAGAGACATCTAGTTTGTCAAGACTTCTGTCTACCTTCCCTAAACCCTCCCCAGCAGGGGCTGAATGACGGGAGGGGAGCAGGGAGATAGCCCTCACATTGGGAGTATGCAGAAACCCCCCACATCCCCTCCTGACTGCTTCAAATGTGGGAGACAGCAATTATTCTCTAACCAAGCAGCTTTATTCTCAACTGAAGGGCTCCTGGGATTTATCAATGGCTTGAAAACACACACCTGGCAGATTCCAGCTCAGACCCCAGCATTATTCCAGGCAGCCGAAACAAAAGGTTGCAGCTATATTTGCCTTTAGGAGAAAGCCACCAGCACAAAATTATCATTAAAAATCAAGATATCATTCCACCTCTCCCTTCCAGAGCACAAAAGAGAAGCTGCAGGTAACATTTAATCTTGCCTCCCTGTATAATCACAAAGCAATCAACTGGATTTTCTAGAGAAAGGTCTTGCAACGCCTTTCAGGAAGGCTGTGATGGAACTCATCAATGCTGCAATTTCCTTAATGTAGCAGTCCTGGAAAATTATAATATCTTAAATAAAATGATAATGAAAACAGCCTGCTTTAGATGGACACATTTGCCAGGGAAACAAGGGGGCAGTGCTGCCAAATGCCCCCAGCCGCTGGCAGGTAGGCCTTCCTCAGATCATGGTGGCAATAGATAGAAGTAGCCACAAAACATGAGAGAGGATGATACAGCCACTTACAGCAAAGCACCAGCTGCTTCTCCTATTTTGGCCTTAAAGCTTGTTTAGTCCAGCAATATTTTGGTTTTTTTTTGGTTGCTCCAGTTGGGTTTTCTTGTTTTTTATTTAATCCCAGTTTCCCCTCAATATCTCATTAAACTGCGTTGATGGCAGAGAATAGCTTTGATGATCCTTTGAGCCCCCATGATAAGCATTAAGCCGTAAACTAAGAATGTAAGACTCTTGTCTGAATTAAAGTCTTTTTGCCTGGTATTATTAAGTGTGGGACTACATTCGGAGGGCTGCAGGGTACACAAAGACCCCAGCCCCTTGCTGGGAGCATTGGTAGCACTAAAGCTGCACCCAGCTGCCCTGGGCCACCACCCACTCCCACCCCCAACCCCTGCCCCCCCGCCCTGGGTTGCTTTGATGCAAATCCTACAGGTTCCAGTGATGCAGTGAGAACTGCAAATCCCATGTGCAACTTGAGTAGTCTCCTGATGGCTTGGCCCACCCTGTCTGATCACCGCTGGGTGAGAGCTGGGCATCACACCCACCAGTGCAGCTGGCTCCCCTCCCCAAAAACCCTGGGCAAGGGGGAACATATGGGTCTACCTGTGGCAAAAAGCTGGGCTGATGCCACACTAATCTGGTTCTTTGTCTCTTGCGGGGTATGAGCATCTCTCCGTTCACACTAGCAGGCTGTAAACTCCAAGACTCTAGCCTAACCCCAGAATCCCTGTTTAAGAGGTTTGTACCTTGCAGCACCCACCCACCCCAGCCAGGAAGGCATCAATGCAGCACCTACCTCCATCCGAGTAGGTCTCTGTCCCATATCCATCCTGTAATCCATTGCTCCAGGTGCCTTCATACTTGGCCCCATTTCCAGTGCATTCTCGAACCCCATACCGTCCCTTAAATCCATGGGTCCACTCTCCTTTGTACACCCACTTTCCCTTGCTCTCCATGCCAATGCCATGGCGCTTGCCCTGCGCCCAGGTGCCCTGGTAAGTGTTGCCACTGGGCCAAGTGTAGACCCCCAGCACCTCAAAGCCGTGACTCCAGGACCCTGAATATTCACCTTGACCCTTTGGGCCAGTACAGATTCCGTGGCCATGAGCCTTTCCATCCTCCCAGCCTCCACAGTATGACCCTCCATCGTCAAAATTGAACCTTCCCCCACTGGACATGCATGTAATTCGGTTTGCAAATCCCCCAAAAGGTGAAAAAAAAAAGGAAAAAAATAATTAAAAAATGCAGAAAATAAAATGTGAATGATGACTTGGGAAAAAAAATAATTTTAAAATCAAATCAATCCCAGTCATGCACCAGATCCAAGGGAGCTGCTTAATCCAGTTTCTTGTGATTATTCATTCTCTGGGAGGACGTTCAGGATCAGTTCTCTCTTCCCCTGCTGTGGAAACAGTATCATTATAAAAAAAAAAAAAAAAAAATCACAGCAAGAACAGCAGCAGCTATTGGGTTTTGGTGCAAACGACTCCACCTAAAAACCATCCACGACAGGGAACGGGGGTGGGGAAGGAAAAAAAATGGAAAAAAAAAAAAAAAAGAAAAAAAAAAAAGGAAAAAAGGAAACAAGAGGCAAAATGCCAAGAGGAGAAATAACCCCAGGAACAGCCGCGGCCCTGCGCCCAGTGGGGAGGCTCCTCACAGCCCCCGCTGCGCTCCGCGCCCAGGGCTGCCCGCCTGCCCGTCCTGGCTGCGGCGCGTGGCCGGCAGAGGCGGCGGCAGCGGCGGCATGGCGGGGATGCGGGAATGCGGGTGAAGGGGATGCGGGGTGGCGGCGGCTCAGCAGCAATGCGACGCCTCGGCCGCTCCCGCTTGGTTCCCCCCGCGCCGGGCCTCGCACCACGCACGCACCCTGCGCCCTAAAAACTTGCCATCGCCTCCGCTGTCCCTCCCCCCACACCCGCCCGCCTTCTTGCCCGTCCGTCTGTCCGCCCCCAGCAAACCTCACTCCCGGGAGGACCCGCTCGCCTCGCCCAGCGGATTCCGCGTCTCGGACAGAGGATGTTCGGAGTGAGGCTAGATGCCGCGTTGAGGGGCTGGGCAGCAGGCCTCCGCTCGCTGCTCGCTCCTCGCTCCTCGCTCCTCGCTCCTCACGGCCCCCCCCCCCCCCCTCCTTCCCGTCTCCCTACTGGGATAAATCCTGCTTATTAATGAGCAGGATCCTGGGCTTTCTGCTCTGCCTCAGCTCCCGGGTCCAGACTCAGGGTGCATTTAAAGAGACAGTAACTGCGTCGTCTTCGCCTCCCGCTCCGGCAGGGCCGCAGCCCCACGCAGCCCCTGACACCTCTCTACGGCTCCGGGATGCTCCCATTTATCCCTTCATCTCTCCCCCGCCCTGCTCCCTTCGCTTTCCTGCCGCTTCTCCTTCGATGCGACGAGGGGTGGCCGTCCTCTACCAGACCCGGGGTCCCCGCTTCCCGGTGGCGGGGTGGGGTGAAAACGGGAAAGGGCCAAACGCCTCGTCTCCGGGCAGACTTCACTCCCTGCCGGGTCCAGCACACTGCGACTGCAATACGGATTACATATTCATGGAAAGGCCGTGCTGTCACTCCGGGTTTATGGCAGCAGTCCTGGCTGTATCCCCTCCTGGCTGGGCTGCTGCCACCTCAGTCCCCTCCCTTCAACACAGAGCACTTCATTGGGGCCCTTCTAATCTGCTGGGAAGGGGCAAAACAGCAGGAGCCCCTTGCCAGTCCTTTCCACAGATTTTTTTTTTTCCTGGGATTGCTGAAGATGTGAAATCCTCCCCAGGCAGTGGCAACAGCTTACTTTATGCCACTGGAGCACACGGGATGCTGATCCAGGCTTTTCCTTCAGGAAGATACTCATGCCACTGGCCATACACCCCCTTGTTTCTAAGTGTGACAAATATATACAGCACAAGGGTGTCTGTGCAGGTCTGTTTGCATGCATATATGTATTTGTCTTAATACATGAGTGTAATACACAAGTATTAAACAAAAATCCAGGTTGATGCAAATGCAAACCCACCGTCAGTGGAGAAAGAGTTGGTTTGTAAATTAATACAAGAGCTTGACCCTTACAAATTTTTGGATCAGATGATCCTTGAGGTCTTTTTCAGCCTGGTGTTATATGAAATGGATGAGCCCTGACACTATCCCCCCGAAGGTGTTCAGAGAGCTGGCTGAGGTCCTTGAGATGCTGATCTCCATGTTCTTTGGGAAGTCATGGAGATTGGGGGATGTCCCAGAAGACTGGAAGAAGGTGAATGTCACCCCCATCTACAAGAAGGGCTCAAAGGAGGATCCAGGAAATTATTGGCCCATCAGTCCCCAGGAAAGTTATGGAGTGAACCCTTCTGGGTGCTATCACAAGTCAAATAATAGAATCACAGGATCCCAGCTTGGAAGGGACCTCAAGGACCATCTGGTCCAAATTTCTTTGGCAAAAGCACAATCTAGACAAGACGCCCCAGTGCCCTGTCCAGCCGAATCTTTAAAGTGACCTACACTGGGGAATCCACCACTTCCTTGGGGGGATTATTCCAAAGGCTGGTTGTTCTCATTGTGAAAAGTTTTCCTCTTGTGCCCAACCAGAATCTCCCCAGGAGTAACTTGTGGGGAGATTGGAAGGGACCTCAAGATGATCCTTGATGTCCCTTCTGACCTGTTATTCTATGATTCTATGTGTAAAGGGGGAGCTCTGGGAAAAATTAAAATGATGCTCAGAAGTGCCTATAAAGCAAAATCTGAGCAATGTATGAAAACACAGTTCTTCCAGGAAATCTCCACTAGGACTGCCAGGAGCACCGGCTCATATTTTCATCCCGCAATAGCCACTGGCATTACTGGAAAGATAGTTTTGAGACAAGATTATTGACTTGGATTCAAGCTGTATAAACCCTGGTGAGGGAAACCCATGGGATTTAGGCATGTGCATTCCCACTGAAGGGATGGTTACACTCAGAACCTTCCTCCATTGCCCACCTATAGGAAGTTTCAGGCTGCATCTTCCCACTCAGGTTTTTCTTTCTGTATCAATGTATCTTCTTGTCTATCCATTGAAACATATCACCACCCTCGTCTGGAAGAAAACCTTCCTCTGTCTCAGAGCTGGAGGGAAGAGATGCAACCAGAGTGGCTGGAAAATTTCCCACTGAAGCATTTATTTTTTTTCTTCAGTTGAAAATGCCTTTTCAAACAACACTGAGTCATTTGTGAATGCAAGAACTGTTCTCATTATACATTGAGGGTGTTTTTTTTTTTTGGTGGGGTTTTTTTTCTAAAAATATCGCACTTCAGGTACTGCATTTTTTGGCAACTGCAAACTCACATTTTTTCATAGAGAGAGACCTTGGGTGGAAACCCCCAAACTTTTCAAGAAAATCACTACAACTGAAGTTACTTAAATGTATACTAAAATTTTGGCAGAGAAAGGAAAGAAAACAAATTCCAGCCCCTTTCTGGTGTTTCTCAGTAGTTTTACATGCTTATAGTAGTTTTATGTGTTAATTGGCACATTAATTAATGGCCAGCTATTCCTTCTGTGGAGTTCAGTGGGTATAGAGACAGAAGCTAATGCCTGTGCATACACCAAGGTACAATACACCTCTGACCAAGTGGGATGCTGCTCCTAATAAAATAGGTGTTTAAAAGAACACTGTAGGAGAGGAATTGGTTCAAGACCATCTTAAAAATCTGAACGTGCACAAGTCCATGGGTCCTGATGAAATCCATCCGTGGGTCCTGAAGGAGCTGGCAAATGAAGTTGCTATGCTGCTGGCCACCATATTTGAAAAATCATGGCAGTCAGACTGGAAAAAGGGAAATATAACCCCCATTTTCAAGAAGGGGAAAATGGATGACCCAGGGAATGACAGACCAGTCAGTCTCACCTCTGTGCCTGGCAAAATCTTCAAGCAGATTCTCCTGGAAGGCATGCTAAGGCACATGAAAAACAACAAGGTGGTTGGTGACAGCCAGCATGGCTTCACCAAGGGGAAATCCTACCTGACCAATTTGGTGGCCTTCTATGATGGGGTTACAGAACAGTGGTAAAGCAGGTGATGTCATCTACCTGGATTTGTGTAAAGAGTTCGACACTGTCCAACATGACATTCTTGTCTCTAAATTGGAGAGACATCAATTTGATGAATGGACCACTCAGTGGATAAAGAACTGGCTGGATGGCCGCACACAAAGAGTTGTGGTCAATGGCTCAATGTCCGGCTGTAGACCACTAACGAGTGGTGTCCCTCAGGGATCAGTGTTGGGACCGGTCTTGTTTAACATCTTCGTCACTGACATGGACAGTGGGATTGAGTGCGCCCTCAGCAAGTTTGCTGATGACACCAAGCTGTGCGGTTCGGTCGATACGCTGGAGGGAAGGAATGCCATCCAGAGGGACCTTGACACGCTTGTGAGATGGGCTGATGCCAACCTCATGAAGTTTAACCATGCCAAGTGCAAGGTCCTGCACCTGGGTCGGAGCAATCCCAGGCACAGCTAGAGGTTGGGCAGAGAAGAGATTCAGAGCAGCCCTGCGGAGAAGGACTTGGGGGTGCTGGTCGATGAGAAAATGAACATGAGCCGGCAGCGTGTGGTTGCAGCCCAGAAAGCCAACTGTATCCTGGGCCGCATCAAAATGAGTGTGACCAGCAGGTCGAAGGAGGTGATCCTGCCCCTTCATTCTGCTCTTGTGAGACCTCACTTGGAGTACTGTGTGCAGTTCTGGTGTCCTCAACATGAAAAGGATATGGATCTGTTGGAACAAGTCCAGAGGAGGGCCACGAGAATGATCAGGGGACTGGAGCACCTCCCATGTGAAGATCGGCTGAGAAAGTTGGGGCTGTTCAGCCCGGAGAAGAGAAGGCTGCATGGAGACCTCGTAGCAGCCTTCCAGTATCTGAAGGGGGCATATAGGGATGCTGGGGATGGACTCTTCATTAGGGACTTTAGTGATAGGACAAGGGGTAATGGGTTAAAACTTAAACAGGGGAAGTTTAGATTGGATATAAGGAGGAAATTCTTTCCTGCTAGGGTGGTGAGGCACTGGAATGGGTTGCCCAAGGAGGTTGTGAATGCTCCATCCCTGGCAGTGTTCAAAGCCAGGTTGGACGAGGCCTTGGGTGAGATGATTTAGTGTGAGGTGTCCCTGCCCATGGCAGGGGGGTTGGAGCTAGATGATCTTAAGGTCCTTTCCAACCCTAACTATTCTGTGATTCTATGATTCTATGTTTAGTGGTACCTGGTGAAAAACAAATCGCTACTAACAATCTGCTGAGGAAGAAGAATGAGATTTACTTGTGAGAAGCTCTAGTGCAGGGCTGTCAGGATGGTGCATGGCTTTAAAATGAGTATGATTTTGGGAAGAGCACCTTTGTGGGCAGTTTCTATATTAAAAATGCAGCTACGTGTTACATTTTTGGTTCATGATCTGATTTAGTTTTTGTGCTGCACCCATAGACTTTCTTGCTGCACTTTTGCTGGAGTGGAGGGTTTGGTTAGAAAGGGCTATCTTGGTTATTAAAGGATTTAAGATGAGCTTCAGAAGGCCCCCAAAATTGCCAAAAGCCATGTTGGCAGCCAAATAA